GTTCAAATTTTTTATAATTTTTTAATTAGACATCAAGATGTTTTTCCTTTATCTAAAGAGTTATAAAATGAGGGCAAAGTAGGAAGAAAAAAAGATTGTTTATTTTGTTGCTTGAAATTTCTTACTTCTTTGCAAAGCTTTCTAAGGGAAGTACCATCTCTGTTGCTTCATTCTAAAGCTTTAGTTTTATACATTTGAGTGATTAATTTAAACGCTTATTTTTATAAGGATTTACTCTATCAAAATGTCTTAAGTTTCAGAATTGAGATAAAAAATTCATTGATTATGAATCAACTCTGTATTTACTAGAGAAATTGAATTACATAAACTTACATATATCAATCTACCCAAGTGACAAAATCTACTTTGTTAACCAGCTATTAACTTGACTCTTAGAATTCCTAAAGTTACTCGCTTATTAGAGCTATTCACCTAAAGAACTTGGCTACTAATTTGTTGTATTTGATAGGCTAAATATGGGTTTTCTCCGAAGAAAATAATCAAAGGTAATCTTTAATTTGTAACTCATATGAGGTTTTTGACTAATCAATTGCTGACAATCAAATTTGTCAACTAAATAAAATTTTAAATAGAGTAGAATAAAACAAGGAAACCAAGCCCATTTCTATACTTTATTGAAATTTTATTATGCAACCCAACTTATAACAACGAAACTTGATCATATTTTGAGCCAAAAAATTTATATGATTGGAATCTCTATAAATTCTTTAATGGAATATCTCTTTGTCTATAGATTAAGATCATTTTCTATTTTTAATTTGACTCCCATTTATTTATTAGAATGGTTAATATAGTAAGTAATTTAAGAAAATATTTTAATTGTATTCTCTCTTGCATCCCTCTCTTTTCTTCATGCTCAATATTCCATGTACATCATTTGATGCACCTCTAGGGTTTGCACTAGAATCCTATTTTTTGTAGTAGAGAGCCTCCAAAGCCCATCCCCAATCTCTAAGTCGTGCCCTAACATCCCTTGTATAACTCTTAGCCAAAATTGACATGAAATTTCTTCCGAAATTAAGATTTATGTGCCCAATGGCATGATCGCACCTGATTTTAGTGTAACCACGCTGTGGTCATCATAACTAAGCTAAAGTTGGGCATATCAACATCGGATAACCCAAAAGGGCGGCGAAATTATGATAGTTTCATGCGTGGTTATGCCAATTCAGCTCCATGATGTGCATTGGAAACACCAGAAAGAACCTTCCACGAGCAAAAAATTATGATAAATATGAAAAAAAAACATAGAATTTAGAGCAAAAAAACTATAAATTTAGCCCGTATCATAACACTTGTCCATTCTTTTTTTTTTTTTACTTCTTCTTGTTGTATTAAAGATTGATTTCAAAACTCTTCCATGAGATCCAAATAATTTTAGAGACTTTAATCGAGTCATGTAGACTCGGTCAATTTTTTTTATTTATAACTAGTTACCATTAAGTCCAACTGATTAAGTATATTTTATTCAACTAAAAGTATAGCTTCAACACCATCTGATATAACAAAAGAAGTTTGATTTATGGAAGTGAAAGTTACATTGTAGTGCCCATAATATAGATGATAAAATTCAACCCATTTATTTATTACCCTTTATTTTTTTCTTGACTAAATTTAGGATTAGTTTGTTGGAAGCTTTCACTTGATCATTAGTTTAGGAATGATATACTGAAGTAAATTTGAGTTGTATACCCTAATCACTTTAGAAGTTCTCAACCATTTTGTTGGTAGATGAGTCCCATTATTAGTGAATGTCCAGATAGGTACACCATATCTGCATATGGTATCAATTTAGATGAAGGTCCAGATCACCTAATTTTTGGTTTTGTCCAATGGCTTAAATTCTATACACTTCAAGAGATAATTGACCATCATGAAAATGAACTTTGACTGTCCTTTGCCTGAAAGAAGGGGATCAAGAAGATCCATCTCCAACACTGCAAAAGGCTTTAATTTGGTTATTTATTAGAATATATAAGATGGTGGCAACTATATAGGAGCAAACTTTTGATACTATTTGTATCATTGTGTGAATTCTTCTGGTCAGACTAGCAAAGTTAATGTCTATGGTCCTTAAGCATTTCAAGATCATCTGCCACAAGAATTCAGATCTATTCCCACCCTAGGATAACAAGTACAACTCTAATGATATGCACTATTCTGACAGGGATTGATATATCAGAAGTGATTTCAACTGGGGCTTCGCTCTATCTTTGAGTATTTGCTTATGGTGCTATAAACTCCTTTAGTTTGCCTACTCATATCAGTTCCTTAATGAGATTTTTTAGGTGTCACCAATCCTTAGTATCATGCCCATGGTCAATGATAAGCACAATACTTGTTGGGATTGATTTGAAAACTCCTGACTTTTATCGGTGGTGATCACTTAAAATTTTTTTTATTCTGGATGGCATTTACACTTTGTCATGGATAATTTCAACATAATTACTTTGTCTAAAGAGGATTGAGATAACTCATGCCTTTTTTCTGACCTTCCCATGATCAACCTTTGATTAGGTTGCTACACTCGCTATCGTTGAAAATTCCCTCACAGGGTGCTCTAAAGGCCTCTAAGAATGAATTTTTTCCTTGAGTTTTGGTGTTTTTGGAAAGGTCTTTTGTGGGATTTATCCTCCATTTGCCTATTTCTAGAAGAGCTCGATAAATAATTATACTCTTTGACTGAAATACAGTTGTTGGTCAACTATAAATTTTCAACCAATGTTTTTGGCTTTTGCAAATCAAGTACGTATCTAAATGGGTTATTGTGTTGGCCTTGGGCTAGAGCTACATAAAAAACAACGGGCTCGAGATATCTAGTTCAAACGTCTCCCATTGGAATCAAGTGATTAAACGTTTAATGCTTTCAGAAGGTGTTTATCGAATATTCAACAGAGCTTGATAACTCTTTTGTGGTTTTTGAGTGCCGGTGAACTAAGTTACGAACAATCGTTTAAATTCATCAAGGGATGTAATGACTCATATTGATAAGTTTTGGAACCATCATTGCGTTAATTCTTTCAAGGTCATAAAGAATAAATGCCATTTAAGGGCATTGCTTACAAGTAATAAACATATTCTTTATTAAAAAGAAGCAACAGGATCACTGGGGTCCGTTTTCTCTTTATAAGAATACAAGGGATTTTAAACTTATTGGGTGCTTGAGTTTTAGCAATCTCTCTTGAAAATTTGTTCTCTAATGGCCTTCATCTTATTCTCCTCCTTCTTTCGTCATCATTCGAGCTTTCAAAGGTATCATCTTCCGAGACATCTAACTCAACGTCCTCCTCTTATTATTTCACCAAATTATTTAGGGGGCCATGTAGGTGACCTTTAAGGTTTGATAAATGACCTCAACGATGAAGTTTGAGAGTGTAGGTGAGCTTAGTGAGCAGACTTGGCGAGTATGTGCGAGCTCAGCTGAGGAGCTTCTCGAGTTTGGGCAAGCTCGACGGAGAAGCTCAATGTTTTTTGGGGAGCTCGTCGGAAGAGTTCGCCAGTTCACTTGACCTTTTTGAGAGATAATTCTTATTGTCTTCACTTTGATGAATGCAGTCAAGGAGTACAATCAAATACATAAGAGCAGGCCACTTCCGATCCAATGGTCCTAGAATGCCCACTTTACATTTAGGCTTCCTAGATAGCTTAGAAAATTCATTTTTGGATTTACAATTTAATATTCTCATTATATTAGAAAATAACACGAGATGTAAAATTATTTTAACAGAACTTTTCTCTGTTATAAAAACCATTGAGGAGATGAAAGTTTTAATGGAATAAAAATAAGTGATTTATTTTATGTTATTTAAAAATTTAACTCATAAATTAATAAATTTGCAAAAAAAAAAATAAAATAAAATAAACTCATCAATTACTAAATTATAAAAATTAGATATTAGAATACTGCCGTTGTCGGTCTCAAGCCCGGATGCGAAAAGTGGAGGGTTGCGTTAGGTAGTCGACAACCAGCGTAAAACTTGTCAAAAAATAAAGAATCTTAGATGGTTTGGTCACATTGAACGACGACCATCTGATGATCCGACTAGGAGAGTAGATGTTTTAGATTCGACTTGTGTTAAGAAAGGCAAAGGTAGACCTAGGAAGACTTGGGCTTATTGTATTAAAAAATATCTTAATTTACTAGAACTAAATGAAAATATGACACTAAATAGGACGCAATGGAGAAAAAGGATTCATGTAGCCGACCCCACGTAGTGCGATTAACGCTTTGTTGTGGTTGTTGTTGTTGTTGTATACCCAATGAAAACATAACAATAAAACAAAGCCATAGCTACATCGCTTTGTTGTGGTTGTTGTTGTTGTTGTATACCCATTGAAAACATAACAATAAAACAAAGCCATAGCTACATACATAACAAACAAAACATTGAAACATTGCTATTTACAAAATTTAGTATAAATGTGATATTTTTGAACTATAAAATTAATATATTTATGTGTGTCACAATTAAAATATTAAGAATGTGCTAAAACTAAAAAATATGAACTTACCTTCTAACAATCAATGAATTGAATTGTTAGATTTGTAAAAAGTAATGTTTCGGATTGAAAATAATATTAAATTTATAAAAAATAATATTTTTTTCGGGTACTAATTACATAAACAGCCCTAAAAACAAGTATTATGAATGCAAAAAAAAAAAAAATCTAAAAATTAATCCCAGCCTACATCTTGCAACGTGTCCCGACTTTTAACCCTCCGCCCACCGCCTCATTAAATGAAGGCGCTAAGTCTCCAACATCCTCAAGATCTCGAATAATTTTTCCTCTATAAAATACCCTCCATCCATCCCCAGAAGGCCTCCCTTGTTCCCCACTACCTAATCGCGATCGTCTCTTCGCTCTCCTCTCTCTATCATCGCCAATCTCCCTTCCTCCGGCGATCTCTCTCCATTAATGCGCTGATCGGAAAGCCAATCCATTACTTCCCCACGCGTCTCAATCCATCAGGTTCAATCATGGCAGAAAACGGCTCGACCGTCCAATCATGGAACCACTACGAAACACAGAGCTGGATCCCGCCGATTTACGCCCGTGAGAATGAAGCCCTAACCAAAGCCCTCCAGATCTCGCTCTCCGATGATTCCTCCACCTCCGAAACCCTTTCGTACCTTCCTCCGTTCCCCCCCTCATCCGCCAAGCAGGTATCAACCATCCAAAATCGGAGCTCAATTTATAGGAAGATCGCGAAGCGGAAATCTAGGGTTTCGAAACGAACTCCGACGACGTACATCAACGCCGATCCGGCGAATTTCCGGCGCATGGTTCAGGAGGTTACGGGGATTCGTATCGGGGAGGTTGGGAGGCCGGTCGAGCCGGCGGTCTGGCGAGAGCCGGAGTGGTCCGGTCTTGGTAGCTCGGTCCGCCAGCCACCAACCCGCCCGACCACCCCCATAATATATTTTTAATTAATAATTTATTCATCTTAAAATAAATTAAAGAATTTTAAGGCTATTTATAATTACTTTTTAATCCAAAAATTTCTAATATATATATTCTCTTGAATATTATTACTTTGGTCGGTTAGTGATTATGCAGAGACTGCATGTATTTTCATGAAGCACAGTAGTGACACGGCTCTAGGGTTTTGTAGTGATTCAAGCGACTATTGTAGACTATGTGACTCTTTATCTGACTAATAAATTTGTGGTTTATTTTGTAAATTATGGTCTTATTTTTATTAATATGGCACAGCTTGGTAAAATTTAGTGATAAATATATGTTTTTGAGGTCAAATTTCTGAACATGGTTGTAAAAAAGACACATTTTTATCGATATGGAAGGTAGAAGGATTTTAGAGTTTCTTATTGATGGTGGTGAGTAAGAAGAAAAGAGAGAGAGCCCCATCCCCTTGCTTTACTTAGCTCTACTATTTATATTTCCTAGGATGTGCTTGCGTTCATTGAGCTTAGGGATGTGGCTCAAAAAATTTCTGAACATGGTTGTAAAAAAGACATTTTTATTGATATGGAAGGTAGAAGGATTTTAGTGTTTCTAATTGATGGTGGTGAAAAAGGAGAAAAGAGAGAGAGCCCCATCCTCTTGCTTTACTTAGCTCTACTATTTATATTTCCTAGGATGTGCTTGCGTTCATTGAGCTTAGGGATGTGGCTCAATTCGGCTCGGGAGCCGGCTCGAGCTCAGCTTGATAAGCGGCTTGTGAATCGAGCTAAGCTAGCGTCGACTTGACTCGTTAGTTGGTGAGCCGATTTGTTTTAAGAAATATTAGTATAAAATATATTGAAAATGTATTAAATTTGAAAGTTATTTTTAAAATATTAAAAATATTTAAAAAAATATTTATATTTTATATTAAGTGATTTATTCTTATTTATCTCTTAACTGCTCATTTTATATGTCATTTTATTATAATATTTTATTAAATTAATATTATTATCTCATATGATAAACATGCCGACTCTTGAGTCGGTTTGAACTCGTAGAATTAAGCTCGAGCTCGATAAAATTAATCAAGCTCAAGTTGAGGGTGGCTCAAGCTTGACCCGACTCTTTTACACCCCTGATTAGGCTACAAATAAAAAACAAATGCAATGTTGTAGACTATGTTATACGAAACTTTTAAAGAGTCTCCATTGATAAGATCATAGGTGTTGACGTCACACAGTCAATAAATAGGCATGGACGATAATAGAACATAATTTTCCTTCTGTTGTGAAGGAGAGTACAATGAAATTGATGGCATAGCTTGGTGGATGCTAGTGAGCTCGGTTGGAGAGTTTACTGGGTTCGGACAAGCTTGATAGAAGAGCTCGAGATCAATGAGTGAATTTGGTCGGAGAAGCTCACATGAACCATATTAAATGGCCTAATTTGATTTAAACTATTTTAAATTTTGAGTTTTATATCATAATCAAGTCTTTTGGGTACTTGGTAAGTTTGGTTTATTTAATTTGATTGATTTGATTCAAAATTTCAGAAGGGAGCGTGATCATTAGAGTCAAAATAGTCTAACCCAACAAGAACTAGAGGTTTTAGTTTCAACTCAGTGATGTTTTAGATCCTTGTATATTATTTTTGTTCATTGAAAATTAAATACTTAAAAAGTAATAATATTCAATTTATTCATTAGGCTTCATGGGGTCACTATGGGTTGACTTGGATCAAACAAAGTCAATCAAGACAGCCTTAGTTTGAATTTTGGGTTCTTACGATTCAATGGTCTAACTTTGGGTTCTCAGGAAGGACTTGGTTTATTTCTTGATTCTTGATGAATTAATTGTGGTAATATCAATTTCATTTTGGGTTTGTAAAGGACTAGTTTGAGTTCATCTTAAACCTAATAAAACTGATTTGTTTGTTATGTATTTGGTTCACTCACGACCTAATCAATAGGAAAGTCCGCTAAAGATCAGTAAGAAAGCTCCCATGCTATAATTGGATCATATAGATTACGAAAGGGGGTAAGGGTTTGTCAAGCTCATCAAAAATGAGATCAATAAACTCTACTTTGTATTATTAACCAAGTCTGGCAGCACGACCACCTTAGTCTCATTACAAAGGTGAAACCATTATAATTGATGCAGCTTTACCCCATGATTTATTCGTTCATGTTAGAAGTTCAATGCATAATTATTCATGTGTCTTGGAGGAGCATGCCCAATTAAATTCATTACTACATTAAAAAATATTCATTGCAAAATTTTGGAAACAAACTTCTAGGATTAATTTGACATGATGTTCATTGAAGATCTTGCATCCCTAGTATTGCCTCATTTGCAAAATCTCTTAATGTAATTATATCTAATTTATCTCCATCAATGATAATACTAAAGATATCACTATCATTTCTTTGCATTTAATATGGAAAAAAGCCCAGGCATTTATGTGGTTAAATTTTAGTGAGGCAATTCATTGATAACCATAAAGCCATGGCAAAGATTGAACTTATCTTGGGATTCATAAGAGCAATGAGTCCACAAAAGAACATGGATGTGCTATTAAGAAAGCATCCCTTAATGTCAATATAGAAGATTTTTTTGCTAGAATTTGAATACCTTGTGAGAAAACCTCATCATCTCTGAAGAAAAAAAAAATATCTCTAAGCATTGTTTTACTTCTCTTATTATAAGAATATAAATCTAACATAATTAACTATCAACCTAAGCAGAAATCTAAAATTATTTCCCCCTACTTCATCTTCTTCTCGAATAATCACATAAATAATTCCCCCTACTTCATCTTCTTCTCGAATAATCACATCACTTCAGGAGATGTTGTAAATAGCTTCAGATATTTGCGTCTGAATTTTTTGAAGCACATATTTGCGTCGATTTTGGGACTGTTGTGTGGCGTAAAATAATTTACGTTATATGCGGATTTAGTGTTGGATTAGCTTATAAACGCGACGGAATTAGTGTCGGATTAGCTTCTAATTGTTCAACTAATACGTGACAGCGAAATTTATAGTGGTGTTGCGGCGATTTGAGAGTCGAATTAGTGGCAAATAAATCGACGCAGAAGATTTACAAAAAAATACGATGCACAACAGACAAAAAATTTGATGAAATCGTCCTCAATTACCTATCCCGCGCCCTTCATTTCATTTTCTTTTTCGTGATCCCTCAAAACCCTCACATCTCCTCTAATCATTCTCGCGACACCGAAACCTCTTTTGATATCTCGTGGTCGCAAAATACCTCTCCGTCGTTGGTATCTGTTACCTTCCTGTCGTCAGGGCACTCACCGTTGTCTGTAGCCCTCACCCTAGCTGACAATGTCGTGGCTCGATCTCCCGTTTGTGACCGATCGAGGAAAAGGTAATGTGTTATTTGCCCCATTTTTTCCTTTTAAAATTTTGTTATGTATTCAAGATTTGAAGTTCAGGTGTTAGGTATGTATAAAAAAATTGGGACAACTACATTGTATGCCTAATGAACTGCGACGAAGTCCGGCCATTTATACGGTAAGATTAATTGTGCTCAAACTCAATGCTGTCATTTATTATTGAAAATGTTATACATATACAAATTAATTCAAAAATACAAATGACAATGATGTGAGTAAATTATTTATCGACAAGATGAACATAGAAGATGAGTCTCTAATAAGCAAGATGTTGAAATAGAATTTTTAACATTGTTTAAATTATACACAGGTTGAAGCAACTCTTCAAATCACATATATATAATATAATCGTCACGTTCGAAGTTAGATTAATAGTACCTTTGAAATTGTTATAGGTGCACAATACAAGCAACGTAATCACAAATCAGAGATTACTAGATCTTGCCTGGGGGTCCAATTGCAGCGTTGCTATATAGCATATATTTGATGTACAAAGTTATAGATTTCATACAAGTTTCTGGTGTGAAGGGAAAAATAAATATAACCATGGTGTCGCTGTTAAAATAAACACAAGTACAAGATTAACAATAAAGGTGTACTTGAAGAAGTAATTTATTTGCAATATCTAGGTAATGTCAGCTACATTGCATGTTTATTCAACTGTCACTGGTATGATCCTATTCCGAATTGAGGAACCTGAACACTTGTGCCTTATGATATCATTGAAGTCAAAATGAACAAACAATATGCAATGTTTGATCCATTTGTTTTTACACACCAAACCACGCAGGTTTATTATATTTGATACCCTAGCAGAGCAATGGATAAAGTTGATTGGACTGTTGTAATGAAAAATAAACCGCAAAAAAACTATTGAGCTGCAAAGTATTATAGAATCAATGTACCAAGAGGAAGGTATGTCAGATTTTTGCATTCAGATCGACGAAATGATGAAATGTTTGCGCTGAAGGATACTACATGGATTTTTAAAGAGGCTCCTCGTGATATCGATTAGAATGATGATGAAATTGAAGAAAAAATTTCAAGTTCATTTTTGACGACGAGTTCCTCTAATGAAACTTAATAACAATGGTATGTAATTTTCGATTAGGTGTTACTGCTACTTTTCATTTTTTATTTTGTTGTTTTTAGATATAGCTACCACATGTGGCTTACTTTAATTGT